GGGGGGGGGAGGGATACATCACCCCACGTTGCCCTCCACGCCATTCACCCTTCAGAACCACATCATACATTTATTTACGCATCTCTCTATTCTATCGTTGGCCCGGCATTGTTTGGTTCATCGAGTTACCGGAAGCATGTGCTGGCTGTTATCGAGTCCGGAGATCACTTCGATCGACTTAACCCCTTCTTCTGAGAATTAGAAATCTGATCGGAGGATTGGAGAACTCGTTGAATTAGCGAATCAGTCTGCTGATCTATGCGACGGATAGGTGCCAGAGATTGAAGGAGATTCATGAATTGAATCATTCGATCAATTCTTCCTTAAGATCGAAACATTTAACGGAGGATAGAATGCGAAGGTTGGTTTAATTGGTAAATGAACGAGCTAACAAATCCAGTCGATATGTATGTAGCAAGTAAACGTTAAAGATTGAGAGAAGTAAAAAAAATCAATAAATTGATATGGAGATCTTAATGACTTAACTCTTTTCTGAGATCGGAAAATCTAGTGGAGAAGAAACTGTGAAAACTTTTAGTGATTCTTCAATTCAAATATGACGTTAGAGTATGAAAGAGGCAAGAAATTAATAAAAATAATGCCGTGGGTGGAAATTACAAATATAGATCATTTAATGACTGAGATCCAGAAATATAGTGAAGAACAGAATGTGGAGGCCGATTCGATTGATCTACGTGGCGAGTAGGTGTCAGAGATTGGAACAGGTAGAAATTAATAAACTAACGTTGGAGTTCATTCAATGGTGGAGCTCATTCAATGATTTATCTTTTTTCTGAGATGCGGAAATCTAAAAAGAGAATAGAACGTGAAGGTTGATTCAATTAGCAAACTATAGATGTAACAATTGAATTAACGTGATTTGACAATTACCTTTTGTGAGGTAATGAAGATCAGATTTTACTAGAATATAATATTGTCGATTTCTCGTGCCTCGATTTTCCTTTTATAACATCTTATTTTATTTTTGGTCATGAATGTAGTTCTTCGAGAAACTTCAAATAAAAATATATGTCCCAATAAATTCGAAATAAATGTTCAGTATATATAAACATAAAAGTAGTTGAAAATTTAATCAATTCAGTTCTAATTTCTACTAATCAAGCTAAGAATAAACTGGGTGATACAATGATATGTATTAAATTAATCAAAGACACATAGGTAGAAATCTGTCATCAGACACAAGTGTTTCTCTCTCCCTGACAAGAGAGAAACACTTGTTCATCTCGATCACAATGTTGGAACAGTTGATCCATTGCGTGCAAAATTCAAGTGTGTCCCGATGGGAGTTGGTGCGAACTTTCCACGCAATCTGGATCATGCACGATCTACTGAATTGCATCTAACCGATCCGTGAAGTTGGACTTTAATCTGACGATTATAGTCGATACGTGGCCGCGGCGCATCACGTCGAGACACATCTGTCGCGGTTCTGTTCTCCCCCCTTTAGTTAATTGGTTATCTGTGCGAAGGCTCTTCACTTTTTACCGCGTTACGGTCGTTCGATAGAAATTGATAACGAAGAATAAAAGACCGTATGACGTGATCTGTTGAGTCACATATTACGATTCTTCGTAACGTTTCGAATTAACATTGGACATTTTTAAATAACAAATATTTCGTCGCAATATTTCATAAATTTCTCAATATTAATCTTGAACTTCTTCTTTCTTCTGGTTATAACATTCAAATCTATTCTTTTTATAAAGTCATCGTCAACCTCTCTCCAAACCCTGCAAATGTCTCTAAACGTTCACTGATCTCCCTCGTTTCCCTAAAAATTATCGCCAGATTCTGCACACTCCGAGACTGCCCTCTTGAACTCAAAAATCTCGACAGATCCGCTGGAGTAATACTCCATACTTCGTTTCGTTGACGATTATTCGCAGTCTGGTCACGTGCTGGAAGCTGTAGCATTTATTTTTCGAGCATCGGCAGGGTTAATAGTTTGTATATCGAGCAACCATGGCATCGTGTATCTCTTCGACAGGCTTAACGCGCACACCTATGGCTGCCTGGTTATCGATAGTCACGTATACGTAGTCAAAGGGATGCACGCACACGAGCACGAACAGCCGGTGGCCTCGTACGTGGGCCCCGTGTAAAACGGATCGAGCGTATCAGACAGCGATTCCGAGGCTGAGAGGGATCCGATGGAGATGGATGGCCGTTCCCAGGGGATGGTAATAGTACGTCGTATACACAGGGCGGCGGGTTAGGTGGATAGGTCCTCCAGGGTTCAACATTATGCCGTTCCGCATTGTTGCCCGGTATTACGATGAGCCCACTCGACTTGGACCACATGGCGCCACTGGCTGGCCAGTTTGACATTAAACGCCGAGTAAGAGGATCCGCTGACTAATTTCTATCTCGTGGAAGACCGAACGTTTGCCTATCTTGCGGAAAGTTTCTCGGAGAAACGACTTTTATCGATGTCGCAGCGAGCGATGGTTTTTTTTTTTTTTTTTTTTTTTAAACCGATTGATTCTGTTGCTGAGTACAGTTTGAGAAGTAACCAACAGTAGTTCACGAGAGAAATGGAACACTTGTATTAGAAAAACTTTTTATGTATTGTGAAATATATGTTCTGAAATTTTATTAATACTGCATTAAAATATGTATATTTAGTAAAAGATAGCATTTAGAATAGTTTTTCGTATGTATATATACATGAACGTTAAGAATTTCCCTAAAGATTAAGAGAAAAAGATCTTATTTGAATCATCATTTCTGTTCATTAAAAAATCCTACAAACGATCGAATACTTTCGCGAGCAATAACATATATCCATAAAAATTCCTATTTTGAAGAAAATATTGCTCTCACATTAAATCCAGAACACTATAAATATAAAGAAGCTGCTCGTTCGAGAAAGGACATTCCATCATCGAAAGAATGAATAATCCAAGATCCAACGTCTTCGTAATTCTCGTCTTCGCATTCGACACACACGAAAGTTCTTTCATCGAACTCACCTGTATATCAGCTTCCGTCTGACGCTTCTTTTGAAGAAACCGCTACATCCGTTGCAAGCGAGAATTCCGTAATGTTTCCCAGAGCTGGTGTCCCCGCAGACCACGCATATCAAGCCGAGGCTGCGCGGTGGTTTGCTGCCATGTTGCGGTTGCAGTTGTTGCTGCTGTTGCTGTTGCTGTTGCTGTTGCTGCTGTTGTTGTTGCTGTTGAACTTGTCCCAACAAGTGAGGATGCCCGTTTCCCAAAGCGGTTAAATACGGTGATCTCGCGAGCGGGAAATCCGTAGGTATTCCTCTGCAAAGTGGAACCGGACATTCTTGGACAGACCTCGAGGCATAAGGATCGTGACTCGAGGTCGATCCTGTCGCTCCCAAAGGACTGTACCGCTCCGGTAATCCTGGCGAGATGACGCTGCTCTCGCCCGAGTCTGGAAACAAATAAATGGTTTTTCAGTTAGTCGAAGGGATATTTCATTTTTCATGAAACAACTCAGTAGCTGATAAAAGTATACTTGTGGAAAATAAATACGTTACTTTTCAACATTCGATTGAGAGTACAATGAAATTGGACGAAGTGGCGGATAAAAGAAAGTTTAACATTCGCTACTTTTTGCATTAAGTAAACTTTGTGTTTCAAACTGTTGACACGAAGTAACTTCAATGTCAATATTCACGAATTAATTCGTAAAGTCTGGTGGCCAGACTTTACACAATTGTTGAATCTTTATTGAACAAACGCGTCGATGTATCCTTCGATTTTTAAAATAATTCCTTCAAATATTTATTGACCTCCCAACAACGATAACTTTTACGTAACATATTTATACACTTCTTTGTGAAACAAGGTAGGTGCTAAAAATTGCAAAGAAATATCGACTTTTTTTTTCTCTTAGTCACAAGAATAATAATCCAGCATGTTCTGAATTTCGTGCATAATTTTTAATGAGACAATTTGAGATTTACGATCTGAGCTTACGATTCACGATCGATCTTGATTCGTCCTATTCGATCAGATGGCTGTTACGTTCGCCTAATCCCAGAAATCTCTTTCGTGTGTTCGTGTCACCGGTTCCACCCTTGATTGATTCTCATAAGAAGGGGACCGGGGCTGTACATAAAATAATTGTACGCCCATGACTCCTACACAAACGTTATGGTTCACTGGGAATAATTTACGGAACAGTTAGTCGGCCTCCTGAAGATTTATTGCTGATTAAATGGCCAATGATACGACAGTTATCAGTACTCTTCACCATCATTGAAGCGTCTTGACAAAAACCAGTTACTTCTGAATCAAAATAACATTTAGACTGTAATTTCATATTTTTATCAAAGAGATGGAACCCGGATAAAAGTTCAAATATCGTAATGAGTACTTAATTTTGAATATTCGTTGCATTATGCGCGGCCACTTCAAAAGTAGTTTAACAATATTAATGAGAAAGAGAAATCTGTCGATGAAAATTATTCAAATATGTACACTCGTACAATATTGAAAATTTCAAGGTAACTTTAATTAATAAACACTTTTTAAAGAAGGAAAATAGCAGTATGCAATCTTTTTGGCAGCATCTCTGTACAATTGACTATGGTTTCCATCCCCACGAGACTCGTGGTTCCTCTTTTCGCATCCCTTAAGGCTTACCGACTGGATCGCGAGGGCAAACAGTATTTACATGGAGAAATGAGTTCTTAAAAACCGCGGCATAAATATTTAGAAGGAGCTAGAAGAAAGAGAAACGCCAGATGATTTTGTCATGGGGAGAATACAAAGTACTGCTTTGCCTGTCTTGAATATTAAATCAATTCTAGATCCCAGCGATTTAAATGAAAAAAAAAAGAAATCAGCATTAAAAATTGTAATTATCGTTTAATTGTTTGAAAAACAAAATTTCCTCGTAGCGTTATTTATTTGTAACTTTTCCCCGGCCTACGAATTTTTCAACTTACTCCGACAGATCTAGATTTCAATGATAATCAAACTGTGGATGTTCATTTGTTTTTGAAGAAGTTTAAGCTTGCAAAAATTCATATAATGCACACGACATTCGAAAATATAACAGTAGTGTAATAATATGATTGATAGATGATATAAATTTTTATCAGACTTGTGAAAGTATAAAAGTGCGTCAATATCCGCGGTTCAATGATGACAGTGATCCTCGAATCCGTTCACGATTATAAGATCAGATTCACTGTTGATCGCTAACAAAATACGTAGTCTGAACGTGTTTCCGATTGGGAGGAAAGTAAATTCCACTATTGACGCGTGGCACATTAACGATATTAATCGAAAGATGGAAATGCAAAGAGAAACCAGAGACCGGCAGAACATCTGTGTGATCAACGAAATGTGATTTCGCCTCTCTACTCCGGGGTTTATTAGTCACGCTGGCAGCCCCGACGAGGCGCGAGATCTCCCCGGAATCGTATTTGTCGGCTGCATCGTACCCGATCGAAAACTCGTTCCGGTCTCGTTAATGGCCGCGGGGTCAGATAGGATCCGTTCGAATTACCATGCGAATCGACAACAGGTCGATATCAGGTTAGGGTCCCGTTCCTAACGCGCTGCAAAATAATTCAATCGCGCCCTAGTCCGCGCGATTATTTAAAACTGACAGATTGCACTTGCCGCTTGCAGTTGCACGTTTAGAAGGAAAGACAAAAAGGAAAATTAAATCGTAGGGATTCTTCTGTTTCTTTCGGCGAACACGCAGGAGACTCATTCGAATGTTTTATCTAAACATGCTCCTCTATAACTGTTTGTTAAATCATTTATCACCGAGATATTTTTTCTTCGACAATCTCTTAATTCTCTTGCACGAGGAGAGGAAGTACGTAAGTTTGGAAAATATTGAAAAAATGTAAAGATGAGAATTTTTAAACAATTAAAGAACTAAATCAATCATCTCTCAAAATCGTACAACAATTTTACATGGAAAGATTTCTTTTTTACAAAAGATTACCAAAAAAAGAAAAAAAAAGGAAAGTCAACGCATTACCACACACGTGGCAACAAACGCGAGGATGGATTCAAACTGCGAATTGCCAGTCCCGTGACGACTTTATAGTATCAAATTAAAGAGATACCTATCTGTAATCGTAATCAATGATCAAAGCCGTGGAGCACGTCTGAATCGTTCGCTGACACGCGTGATCCGGCTACATCAGGAAGAATTCAATCGTATGGTTTCGTCGTTACGATTACGGGGGATGAACTCAGAGACGATCTTATTAATGCGACTCACGTAACGTCCTAAGCGTGTCGGCTTTTCGATCTCGTTAACACCCTAATCCCGGCGTACGCATACACACAGGCAACGAATTACGATATCGTGAAATCTCCGGTTAAAAAGACGACCAACACTGGTCACCAATGGGAATTCTATTTTATTTGTCCACTCATTTTTAATCCCCTGTATAATACCGTGCGACATAGTAGATGCATATCTAGATGCATGTGTATTTAGTTTTCTGACATACTGAATTTTATATTCTTCCTTTCAGAGACTTATAGTGAAATGAAATTATTTACTGAAATTGTTACTTTATCTTTTTTATTTCATAGAAAATGTACATTCAATGCCATAGACAAAATTTAATTGATTTCAAGAATTAACGAAATTTGTTAATTCACTGCTCTCCACTAGTTCATTCTTGAAATTCTATTGAGCAGGCATCAAAAGGGTTGATTAAAGTACGCACAAATTTGTTATTCCAAATCCTCTGTTAAGAATAATCAGACCCAAGGCTCTCCCACTTTATCAATCTAATTTTCTCCAATAAATCCTCTGTTATCCATCCACCCCTGGAGACGCACATTTCACTCTTCCCCAAATGACTTCTAAGGTTCGTTATTAATCCTTCGCAGTCGAAGCAACCAACTCTACATTCCATTCAACTTTGTTCATCAAGAATCCACACGAATGCTGTACAATTTTTACACAGGATTGTTTAAAATCTCTCATGAATGTGTAAAAATTCGTAACAACGATCGGCTACTTTCAAAAGAAGCTGTCGAGTACTTTTCGAAAATTTACAACCACTAAAAATCGTATAACGCCAGAATAATATTATCGACTATTAAACACTGCAAAGTCGCACATATAATGTTGAAATGGACCTATCCATTCAATCTAACCTTCCTGCCTCTCTTTTAACTCAACGACATAGTACGAGCGCGACGCTACGCCATCAGGATAATCAAATCTCGAACGGAAGCTCGCGAAATGCCACCAGGGTAAGGTTAAAGGAGAAGAGAAAAATGATTGTGCCGCCGTATGGTGACCAACTCGCGATACGCGCGAGTCTCGCGACGTGAAACGCGTATGTGAAACGCTAGGCGAAAGCAGGGGCGTCAAATTTCATTAGCATATCAATGCTGGCGGATGGCAAGGCGCCACCTGCGCCCCTGTATTATGGGATCATCGAGGAATGGAGGGGGAGGGGAGGTGAGGTAGCGCGCGAAATGACGACCAACAAAGGGGACGTTGGTCGGGGAGGAAAAAAAAAGGGGTTTTGTAACTACCGGCCACCACTTCGGTCACCCTCCGCCCTCGCACCCTTCGCCCAATCTCGACTAATTGTTACCGCATTAGGGAGACACCGACCTCGTCTGGGATGGTGTCTCGCACGGTAACGAGCCGCGATTTCGAACATCTGGTTAAATTCGTCTCGGCGTACTTGCTGGATGTCTATAGTCATGTTCCTTGTACACTTATGGAAAATTTCGAGATGCAGAAAACTGCGTGTAATTGGTGAAATAATCGAAGTTATATTAACAATGTTCAAAGTAATACTATTAGATTAACAGACGATTAAGATTTATAATATTAAGATATGAAAATAATACTCAATATTTTGGAAGCAATAGCTTGCATCCTGTTCTCAACACGTCGAGATGTTTTAATTGCAAATTTTTCGAATTAAAACTGAAGTTTCGGTAATGAAAGGAATGGCTGAAAGAACATTTGATGATGAAATTTAAATAGTAAAGATAAATCTGATTCGAATGCACAGGGAGAGTGGAACGATTTCTCGTTCTTCGTTTAACGCGCAGAAAAATCATGCAGTGCTAAATTCTTCGGGTCACTCGAGATCTGATTACTCTAATGGCATAATTTCGTTGGCCGCGCTGCACCCTCTTTTTCCACTTGCCACCCTACAACTACGATTCGTATAAAAGTACGTCGGGGGTTGATTTATATGTGTAGCTTGCCTCTTGAACGTGCGTTAATGTAGTTGTCCGTTTCTAAACGTGCGACGAATCTAATGCTCGTTGAATGATAATTTAAATCCAAGAAATATAGATAATTATTAATATTGAATAGTTTTAAGAAGTAATATTTCCCTGTTTCCGAAACAAATGACGCAATGTTTTTCTTTCCTCGATCACGGAAGTGAATTCTTCTTCGATATTTTTATGTCTGAAATAACAGTCTTGAATTTTATCGGTACTTTAAATTGAAGAGCTAAAAAATATGATTTTTTAATTCTGATGTGATTCGATGGATCAAGTATTACGATTCGGGACGTTTGAATTGTGAGGTAAATAACGATCGAATCGCGTGGGTGAAGTATAGTGAAACAAAACGAGACGAAACGATTCCGATAGGATCGGAAATCGTGAAGTGTAGATTATAGGTAAGTGATAAAATTAAACATCGATAGGACGATCGTTTCTAGAGGATACTAATTGTAAATATAACAGGCGCGCGGGTCAGCGACCAGGAAGAACAATACTAAGTGATTGCGTCAACAGCCGCGATAAAGCATGGTGGACATTACCATTTTTTTTCAAATAGATCTTAATAAAACAAAAATAGAATAATAAATTTTTTTTTTATTAGGACAAGAAGTCCAACAACCCTCGTACGAAATGATTCTAATAATTATATTGTAGAAAATGGGCCAAATAAATTCTTTAATCAAAAATACCGATAAAATGTGATTTCTTTCGAGAAGTCGAGATTCTAATAACTATGTTTGATGAAATTGGAGAAAACCGAGTATAAATGTTCATTACAAGAATTAAAACGAAGATTAAAAATTATGATAAATTATCAAAATATGTACAAATTTTATTTTTATATCGATGCTAACAGAATGAAGAATGTTTGTCACACAATCATGTTTATTTTACGCGTATAACTCGACTTGTCTTTTAATCATGATTTTAACGTCAATCTTGCATTTATTTCAACCATTCTTCCGAAATAATGATTTTGTCAACTCACCATGTCGAATGCTCAAAGGGCTGGTAGGACTTCTCGGATGCTCCGGGGGTGGTTCATTCTGCGGTTGCTGATGCTGATGCTGGTGTTCCTCCGAAGTAGTGACCGGCGTTGCTCCGTTCATGGTGTATCAACGAACATTCCTCGTTATATAAAAGGCAATATACTGCAACATATCACAGTACCTTACCGTTATTATACTGCATCAATAAAATATCAAACATAACAGGATAAAACCTTCAATAAGCATCAACTCCACATCATATTTCATATTTCAAATCTTCCTCACCTAGTTACAAGACCTAGTTATAACTAATTTCACTCTTGGTCCAATTTCACTCGTGCACAGTCCAACAGTCCAACTGTTCCAACTATTACCAAACTTTTCGCACTGATTTTGTCAAATGTACCACCGATCGACTCGTTCGTCCTGCGAAACATTCAACGAAACACCGACTCATCGCGACGGTACGCGAGAAACCAACCCCCCCGAAATTTAAGTGCCCGTTTGAACGTATTCTCGGAGGTACAGATCGGTTCGACAGATTCTTGGGAACTGCGATGGAACGACGCCGGCTCGAGCAACGACGACGACGACGACGACGACGGATGACGTCTCGAAGTCTTCGCGTCTCTCGGCGAAAGATCGACGGTTAGCTCGGCTCGATCGTCCCGTATCACCGGAGGTCGACGTGGTCGCTGGCTTTTGCAGAGTTGCCTCGACGCCGGGCGTCCCGCGTGCCAGGGGGCCACCGATTGGTCGGTTGGCACTTTTGAAGGCGGGATCAGGAGGCAACGCCGGAAAAACAACAAAAACGAGGAGCGGGAGGATTTAACCTATAGCCGGCACGTTTGACGCGGCGCTTCGCCCGACGACGCTCGTAGACGCCGCGCGTGCGCGCACCCCCTCGCGTCGGTTGACGCCTGGCCAAAGCTCCAACCCCCCACCCTCTTGTGCCAGCGTCACGAGACGACGCCTACCTTCGTCCCGTGAACGTCGTGCAATTGTTGATCGTTGGCTACGTGGTAGTGAAACCCCGTTCACCGTCTCTTTCCGCTTCACGTTCGCTTTCTTTCTCGTCGCTGTGCCTCTGCTTGCATCCCCTTCTACCGCGCTGGAATAGAAGCGTGTTCCCCGCTGGAATCAGATCCATCCACTGTTGCAACCTGGTTTGTTAAAAGAATGCTCTTTGAGCGTGTTGGCTCAGCTTGGCCGGAAGTACTTTATTGATTGATGAAATGAGAGAGACAGAGAGAGAGAGAGAGAGAAAGTGTTAACGAAAGTTTGAATTTTCGAAGTTTACGAGGGATGACGATCGTTTAGTCAATATTGGAAGAATATTCTCTCGACGAATCTGTGAAGATTCTACATAATTCTGAATATTGAGTATCGATCGAGTATGATTTAGTTGATACAATATTGTCTGCTGTCAACTCCTTTATCAAACCTACGTTTGTTTCGCAATATTCTTACATAATAAAACGGCAATTCCAGATTATCGTTTGTGACAAGAGACAGAGAAATTTTAATAATCAGTAAGAAACAATAAATTTCTTTGAGCGCGTAATGCTGGAAGCGGCAGGGGTGGCTGCTTGTCTTGTATTACTGCGACGTCGTCAAAGAGTCGCGCTCTGAAAAGACTAGTTAACGGAGCAATTAATCGTCCGATCGAACTTCCGATTCCTGAAGTGTTCCCCCGGACAAATCGAGCGAAATCCACTACCCGGCCGGTTTA